GGGCCCCTGCGTGCATCCCCGCTCTCCCCCCCCGTGCAGCCAGCTCAGGGACCCCCCAAAGGCTCCATGCACAGCCCAGGGTGTGAGGGGCAACCATATGAACCCTGGTATGCCACATGCAGAGCGTGCCCACTGCCCCAGCACCACTCCAGGCATGGGGACGGGGACAGAGCCGTCCCCACCCAGGGCACCAACCCCCACAGCAGCCCAGGACCCCCACAGTGCCCAGGCTAAGGGGCACAATGGCATCACCCCATGATGGGGGCTCGGCATCCATCCATCCATCCCCCCCCTTCCCCACCCGTGCTCAGCTCACCCAGCAGCACAGCAGCCCCCAGCAGCCACCACAGCCCCTCCATCCTACACACCCCAGCCCACACTGCTGTCCTGCACCAGGGTGGCTTAAATACTGCTGGTGGGCAGGCAGGGAGCTGCAGGCAGCCAACAGGCAAAGCCCCATCCTTCCCTGGGCTGGGCTATACCAATGGAGAGGCGTGGCTTTATGTTGCCCCCCCCTGCCCCACCATGGGCACCCATGGGTGCCTTTCTCACCCCCAGCAGGGTGGGGGCCAATGTTGTGTACTTCCAGGGCTCGGGGCAGGGGGAGCAGGGTGGGACGCAGACGCCTGTGGGTAGTGGTACCCCATAGCAGGGCCATACCCCGGAGAGAAGGTGGGTGCTCCATGGATTGGGCGTGGCTTTATGTTGCCCCCCCCTGCCCCACCATGGGCACCCATGGGTGCCTTTCTCACCCCCAGAAGGGTGGGTGCCAATGTTGTGTACTTCCAGGGCTCGGGGCAGGGGGAGCAGGGTGGGACGCAGACGCCTGTGGGTAGTGGTACCCCATAGCAGGGCCATACCCCGGAGAGAAGGTGGGTGCTCCATGGATTGGGGGGGGCTGGTGGTGGGTGCTGGGGGTGTCCCTCCACAGCAATTTGCAGCCAGGCTTTGCTGCATGCAGCGTGCTGTGAGCAGGGGGAGCATCTCCAAAGCACTGGGGCAAGGAGGTACAGTGAGACCCTGCCAGGCACCCCAGAGCACCTTTGGGTGCTCCCTGCCCTCCTGGGACAGGAGCCAAGGTGTCCCCACCAAAGGCAGTGCTGGGGAGATGGGGGCTGTTTGCATCCCCACGTCCTCCTGGATACACCATCAGGGCAAGCCCAGGACTGCAATTAGGGGGGTTCAATTGGAAAGAGGGGAAAGGTGCAGATGCAATGTCAAGAGCTACATGGAAAAACAGACCCGGGGAGGAGAGCAGCACTGTCACCGCAGGCAGAGTGGCCTTCACCTCTCCTGCTCGCTGTGCATCCAGCTGGCCCCCAGCCCAAGGTGACAGCAAGCGCCCGCAGGGCCGCCCGAGCCCAAAACAAAGCCGATAAAGGGCTCGGCGTGGGTCGGCTGCACGAGCCACCAGGGACGAGTCGGGCCGGATTCGGCTGCACCCCTGGGTGCAGGGCCAGGCTGGTGCACCCCATGCTGCAGCACCTCCCCAGGGACCAGCACCGCTGCCAGCGTAGCACACTGGTGTGCCAGCAAAGATGGGAAGACCACCAGGGTCGAGAGAACTCCCCACGCTGTTCAGAGGATCCTCGTGCACTGACCCCCCCTCTCCCCAGAGAGCTCAAATCCGAATTAGGAGCACCCAGGTGAGCCACGGCCATGGGGCAAAGTGCCTCTCCCTGGGGGGGAGCAGCCCCGTGGGGTGAAGGGGGAGCCTGGCTCATGGCATCGGCAAACACCGCTGATTACATCCCTACCCGTAGCCACAACAGGGACCCGGGCAGTGGGGCAGAAGGTGGATGCCTTCCCCCCTCCCAACACCCCACGCCAGGAATTCCTCATCTCAGCAGAAATCCCTGGGGTTGTTTGTGCTCCATCTCCAGAGATAGGGCTGGAGAAGCCGCTCCCCTCGCCCTGGCTGTCTTGGACTGTCTGCAAGCGCAGCTGGCTCTGCCAGGCAGGCACTGTCCCCTCCCGGGGAGGTCCCTGCTGTCCCACCAGACAGAAAACAAGCCTGGGGACGGGGACCTGCGCAGGGCACAATGTGTCACACGCTGCAGGCACCGGGGGCTGCAAAGGGGGCAGAGCGGGGTGGGCAGCAATTGAATCCCCGCTGTAGGAGCACACCAGTATTTTTCCAGGGTCTTTTATTGGCAAGCTCACAGCCGGGGCCCCATCCTGCCCCTCGTCCAGCACCGCATGGCCCTGTCCCACCGTGTCCCCAGCTTCCTCCTGCGTGATGGGTCACACCAAAGGGGCTGATCCAGGGATGGGTGCCGGGAGCGTCACCAAGGGCTCTCCCCGCAGAGCCGAGAGGTGGCTCAGGCCAGGATGGGGTAGGTGGCTTCGGTGGCCACGCCGCAGTTGTTGTCCTTCATAGCCATGAGGATGTAGCCGTCGTTGCCCCAGTACGTGGACCAGGAGTTCTTGATGAGCCAGTAGGTCTCTCCCTGCAGGACCCCGTAGCCCACAGCCAGCACCGCGTGGTCCAGCGTTCCCAACTCGTTTGCTGCAGGGAACAACACGGGAGATGGTTTTTGTCCGGAGAGCATCCCTATCCAGAGAGCATCCCTGCTCCCCGGGCTGCCGGCAGTACTGGGGGGGGGCTGCAGGACCCGTTCCCTCTTCCACCCCTGCCCAAGATGCTCAGCAACGAGGAGGGGATCCCAGATGTCGTGGCATCTCCCCAGGCACCCAGGTCCTCCTGTGCCCCGTGTGCCACCCAACTCACCACATTTGGGCTCATAGTAGATGCCGTTGGAGTAGAAGGAGAAGGTCTTGTGCGAGGCATCGATGCTGACGGCCACAGGGCCGTGCTTGTAGATGGCAGCTTTCACCGCCGTGATGTTGCCCGAGGTGACGTTGACATAGCCCGTGATCTTTGCCAGCATCTCAGACTGGTTGTAGTGGCACAAGCCATTCTGCGGCACCCAGGGACACACACGCAATGTCATCTGGAGCCCCCAGGTCCCCTCACTGGGACCCTGCCCACCGTGGCTGCCCCTGTGCAGCTCTGCTCCGATGCAGGGAGTGATCGGGGACTCGGGCTGTGACAGCCTCCCAGCTCTGGTCCCTCCGTCCTCCCTTGCCCACTGTGGTGGGGACATATTCCCAGTTGCTGCAGGGACACAGCGGTGTCCACATGCAGCGTGGGGAGCTGGGTCTGCACCCGAAGCCCTGGGGGGGGCTTGCAGCCACGTCCCTGTCCCCGGGGCAGCCCTTGTCCATCCCTGCACCTCAGGGTACAGAGGGACCCATGGTACCACCCATGGGTGGAGGAGCCTTGTCCTCGTTTTGCAAGAAGAGAAACGAAGCAGGCGGTGATGAAACTGCCCAGCTGAGCCCTGGGGCTTGGCTTTGGACTGTGCTTTGAAGCACAGGGAGCCTGGTGCCTTGGGAACGAGGGGACATCCCCATCTCCAGAGCCCCTTAGCACCTCTGATCCATCCTGATCACCCCTCCGTGGCTGTGATGTGCCTGGGGGGCACATCCCGAGACCCCCCGAGACACAGGGTCCCCCTCACCTGCCCCTTGTAGGTGCCGTAGGACTCGGTGCTGGCGATGCCGCCGTGTTTCTTGATCCACTCGTAGGCTCGCCACTCCTCGCCCCCGTCGCAGGCGTAGTTCCCAAAGCCCCAGGAGCAGTCGATGAGGACTTGTTGGGACAGGGGGGTCAGCACGCCGGTCTGTGGGGGGGACACGCTGCAGGGATGGGGACAGGCACCCTCCAGGCGCCCCAGCCATCCCTACGGGGCACGGCCCCGCTCTCACCTTGAGGAAGAGGGCACCCTCCATCGCGCCCGTCGTAGCAAAGCTCCAGCAGGACCCGCAGACAGCCTGGTCCTTCACGGGGGTCACGGCACCTGGGGACGGCGGGATGGGGGGTGAGAGGCTGGGGTTGCCCTGGGGGATGAGGGCAGGCGCAAGGGAAACTGAGGCAGGAGTCGAGGACTCGCTGTGCTCCCGGAGGCAGGTAATAAGGGGGGGAGCGAATGCACCAGCAAACCTGCGGGACCCCCGCCCTTGGGTTGGGGCAAGCTCTGGGGGTGTCACTCCCAGCTGATGGGGTCATGGGGGAAGCCAGATGTGGCTTCAGATGTCGCATCTGTCTCTGGGGCACTGGACTAAACGAGGGCCAAGTGCCAGCCGAGCTGCCTCT